GAATTTGAAGGAACTAGCAAAGGCCTCAATGGTTGTCAAAGGGATATTAAGGATGGTTCTGTTGAGGAGAAGAAGACACGAGGTGTGGGGAAATCTGGAACTTCGTAGACGCTGCTTCAGCAGTCATGAGCCGAGTGTTGATGGAAATGGGGGGTAGGGAGTAAAGCCCACTCCAGCGAGGACTCAGGTAGAGCTGAGCAGCAAGACACTGGGAATTAGAGTAAAGTCATCCATATGATACAGCTGCAAAGAGCTCAGTGGGATTGGGTCCATACCCTAGGACTTGGTAGAAGGCAGAACCTAAGAGTGATGCGCTAGGCTCTCTGACAGTGAAATGTTGAAGGAGGTACGTAGCCACTTTGAACTATATATAATAAGAGATGAGAGAAGAAAAATGATTGGAAAACAGAACTGAAAACTAACAGAGAAGCGCAGCAGAAAAATTTGGAAAATTCACAGCCTGGCCATGTAACGAGTGAAAAGGCATCTTTAGGAGAGCAAACCAAGAGGGGGGGCCAAGTGACCCATTGCTAAAGAGATTAATTTGGGGAGAAGGAAGCTGGGAACTACTCATCAATAGTAGAATGATCTGGAAAGCATTTCAGAGTTCTGTAAGGCAGGATACAACCTTGAGGGCAAGGTTTCCAGAGGGGGTGCCCCCAGGGCCTGAGCATCCCCCATCCAGGGCCACCATAGGACTGTGCTCCTCACATTCTTAGTGCTACCTGGCTACCCCAACTGTGGCCCAGGCAGGTGCAGGTGCATGTTGGGCCACTGCTTGGGACCAATACGTGGTAGGCCTTGATAGGTGCAGCGGAGGGGCCTGGTGGCCTCCACCTCCATGTCACAGGATGTTGCGAGAGCCTGGGGTCCCATACAGAAGTTTGCTGCAGGAGCAAGGACAGAGGACAGTGCAGAGTGAAGCCATGGCAACGGGACAGTCCCCAGTATCCCAGGACTATGGGGCTGCCACTGTGCAACCCCAGCCTGAGAAAGCTTCAGGCACAAGACCCTGACCTGAAATTGCTGCAGGGCAGGCAGAGCCCATCAAAGCCATAGGCTTTGAGGTTCAAAGGCCTCAGAGGTTCAAGCCCTGCCCTATTATGGGACATGGACTTGAAAGAGATCATTCTGGAGCCCTAAGAGTTAATGTTGTTTTCTATGGTGAGTTTTGGATATTCTTGGGGCCAGTAACTCCTTTCTTCCTGCCTGTTTCTCCAGTTTGAAATGGAAATTTCCATCTTATACCTGTCTCATCATTGTATTTTAGAAGCTCTTAACTTGTTTAATTTCACAGGCTCCTAGCTGGAGAGGAATTTGCCTCAAGATGAATCATGGCTGGAGTCTCATGCCTATTTGATTTAGATGGAACTCTAGACTTTGGGCTTTTTAGTTGATGCTGGAACAAGTCAAGGTGTTGAGGCCATGAGGATGGGATATATTTATTTTGCATGTCAGAAGGATGTGAATTTTGGGAGCCAGAGGTGTAATACTATGGTTTGAATGTGTATCCCCCAAAGCGTGTATTGGAAACTTAACCTCCAGTGCAACCATGTTGGGAGGTGTGGCTCACGGGAGCTGTGTAGCTCCTGATTGGATGAATGCTGATTATGAAAGACAAGGGCTTGAGGCTGCCAGTGCAAGCTTTCCTTCTCACCCTCTGTTGCCTTCCACCTTCCGTTGTGGGATGTCACTCACGGCGAGAAGGTACTCACTGGCTGTGGACCCCTCAGCTTTATACTTCCCAACCCCAGACCTATCAAAAACAAATCTGTATTCTGTATAAATTACCCAGTCTGAGATATTCTGTGATGGCAGTGCAAAACAGACTGTGCCGGATCCTCAGTAGGGGATTGGGCAAGAGCAATAGCTCAGGTTAAGAGAGCAAAGGTATCTATCTGTGACATTCTTTCCAGAACGCACCCGTTCTAATCGGAATCCAATTTTCCTCTTCTCTGTGGCCTGAAGAAATGGAAATGAAGCCAGTTAAGAAACCAGACTCTCTGAGCTTGCCTCACCGAGGAATTAGCCTCACCGAGAGATTTTAATTCCATTTGGGCAATCGTTTAAGTGATTACACACTTGACCACTGCTTTTGTTGACACGCACGAGGAAGAGTGATGGCTTTCAAAAGAATTATTTCTAAGTAACTGATTTTGTTTACCAAAATGTGGGAGCTATAAGGTCTGATCCCCCTCCTTTAGAAATTTCAGTGTGTGGGCAATGCGCTGTCATAAGGATTTTACAATCTGCAATGTTTGAGAAGTCATAAGATCCTGTTGTTGGTTGGCCATCTGGTTATACATTTTTGGTGTCACGGTTTGCTATTTATTTATTTATTTATTTTTTACTGATGAGAGGCGAAAATAGGAGTTCAGAAATTTCATAGGTTTTTTTTTGTTTGTTTGTTTTTCTATAAACAAGGACTTTTTTTTTTTTTTAGTTACTTGACATGATTTTGTTTTTTATCCTAGGCAGTGTAGGAATTTTGATTCCTTTTTTTTTTTTTTTCCAAAAATGAAGCAACCTGAACTGCTCAACTCCTAATTTGATCCCTAGATCTGAACTGGCTTTGAACTTCAAAAGTAGCTTCTTTACCATGGAGTCAAACATAAATCAAAACTCTAGAAAGAAAAATCACCCACAGAAAGGACCTGTGGCGATTGCATGGCTCATCCATTCATTCACACATATTTATAGGAAGCCTAGTATTTGCATCTTGTGCTGCCAGACTCTCAGGGACTTGCTCCAGAAATATTAGAGGTGCTCCCCTGCCTCTGAGGAGCTCAGCGCTCACTTGGGGAGCAACGACATAGACGTACGAAAACAGTGAAGCTGAAATTCAAGGCGGCGTGTGATTAAATAGCAGAATGTGTGGTTCCGACAAGAAATGCTACAGGAGTTCAGAAAAAGGAGTGATAACTCAGTGCGCGCTACTGTTCTCTGCCTACAAATTGGCAAATTGTAGCACTATTTGTATGAAATATTTTACACTTGTTTTTTTGGCAGCCGAGGCCTTGACTCGCAGGCAACATTAAGAGCCTATGAAAATGTTTGTACACCAGTCTCTCCAGAGTTGGCTGAGTTTTGTTTTCTTCTAGGCAGAGGAAGTGCCTTCTGCAAACCCGCGTGCCCATGAGAGGCAGGGAGGTTTTTCACAGTCGCGGTCTCTCTCAGATAGGAAATAAGGAACCAGTGTCTCTCTTCTTGGTGTTTCAATACAGCAGTACTTGTCCCTGCATTGCAAACTCGCCCTGACATGGAGAGGTGGTTTAATTTGAACTTAATGTCCGTGACGGACAAGCCAGCCATCAAGGGTCAGGTAGATTGATGGCTTTGGAGGATCGTTAATGAAAATCCCTTTGGTGACGGAGGGTGGAGAAGAAACTGACACAGATGGAGGAGGAGCCAGGCCACAGCGGTGCTCACCATGGGCGGGGCTTCCCCCAGATGTCAGAGGAGGGTGACACGCTACAAGAACTGTGCTTGGGCTTGATGCTTAGCGAAACTCCCTGACTTCCTGTTCTATTTTTGCCATATTCACATTAGTACACGGCTTAAAGATGAAACTAGGAGACCTAAATTCTTAAGAATTCAAAGAGAGAAAGAGGAGGGCAGGAAGGAGAAGCAAACCATTGTGGAGCCCGATGCCGCTACCGTACCATGTTCCACTCCAATCCCTCAAAAACTTTCTACCCCCGAGTGCAGTCATCATTCGGGTACTTTTTAATCTCATGATTTGTGTATTTTCAGCCTGTTTTTTTTTTTTATTTGACAGATAGAGTTAGCCAGTGAGAGAGAGAGACAGAGAGAAAGGTCTTCCTTCCGTTGGTTCACTCCCCAAATGGCCACCACGGCCGGTGCTGTGCCAATCCAAAGCCAGGAGCCGGGTGCTTCCTCCTGGTCTCCCATGCAGGTGCAGAGACCCAAGCACCTGGGCCATCCTCCACTGCCCTCCCAGGCCACAGCAGAGAGCTGGACTGGAAGAGGAGCAACCGGGACTAGAACCTGACATCCATATTGGGATACTTGGTGCCGCAGGCAGAGGATTAACCAAGTGAGCTACGGCGCTGGCCCCTTCAGCCTGTTTTAACCCTCACTGGTCACAGGCTCACTACCCTTTTAACCTCTGACCGCGAGTTGATACAGATACTAGAGGTGCTTTGTTCTTCCTTGATACTAGAAGATAAAGTGGCACTTGGTGTGCCTTCTTGTCAGTTTGGTGGCTCATCTGCTGAGCCCGGGATTCCCAAGTTAGCATGACCCAGAGTGACTGGACACATTCAGCAAGTGAGTGATCTCCCCATTACGTGCTGAGCGTCTGTTTATCCAAACTGTTGGCCCTGGTCACAACATGAGACTTATCTGGGGCATCCTCCGGCCTGGCGGACTGGGGGAAGTGGCCCTGGACACTGTTTCACCCATAACTTTTGATATAATTTGTCTCTGTCTCAGTAAATGTTACACAGCAGATGGTTATGGAACGTCTTATCAAATTCCTGGGCAGACTCTGCCCTTGAAATATTTTTATTTAATTACCATACTGCAAGGCACAAACTAGCAGCTTTGTTAATATTAGTTTTTAACACAAACGTTACCTAGTAGGTTGATGTTAAGGGAATGAACTACAAATCCAAAACATATACGATTTGGGAATGCTCTCTTGGCCTGCTCTTTGCTAGGTGTTTAGCAAAGGGAGCTCTTTATTGTAGAATCATGAGAGGATGTACTTCGAATGTGTTTGGCAATGTCAGCTTGAGAGATGGCTCAGGAGTCCAAGTTCAACATGTTGTCTACATTTGTTCATTGCTGCTAGACATGATGGGAAAAAAATTGCTCTGCTGTTTTCTTGTTGCTTTTCATGGTTTTAGCATCATGTTCCTATTCCTGTTCAAAATCAATAATCCACTGTACAAAGTCTGGCATTTTGTACTGAAGCCAAGAGAAAGTTTTAACTAATGCATGTATGGAGTTGCTGTTTTGTTGCTCTTTTCTTAAAGGTGTACTTTTCAAGGAGATTGCACACATTCAGAGAACTTAGACAACTGGCTGGGTGTTTCCTCTGGAGGGAAAAAGTGTCCCAAAGTGCAAATAGTTCGAAGCAACAAAGATAAGGTAAGAGGAAAGATTTTAATTTGTCTCCATTGTAACATCCTCAACTGATGCTAACTTCCTTCTGTGTGTAACCTATCTATTTGCAGACAAAGAGGCTTAGTTGTAAGAGTCCATTCATTTTGTTCATGATTTTGTGCCTACCACGCACTCTGCCAGGTGCCGGGGGTATCGCAGTAATCAAGTCACATCATGGGCCTGCCCTCGTGGAGTTTGTTATCTTGTAGAGCTAAGTGTGACCCTCCATAGGTGAGCTCAAAGAAAAGATGGACTTTTAATGCAAGAAATGCATATTGTCTTCAAAACTAGAGAAAAGTAAGTTCAGACTCCAGGTCAACAAGATTCCTAACAGGTGGCTTAGCTGTAGACTTTTGTCTTGCTTTCTGGTTCTTTATCCTGCTGTGTCCAGCTCTTCCCACAACTGTCCTGTGAACATGGCATCAACTAATATTGACAGGGATGGAGAGAAAACCAGTGTGTGCTTCGGACATTGCAAGTGAGGTCCCCTGCAAAGCCAGTGGGCTCTTGTCACTAGATGAGAGAAGGGGGACACTGGGCATACTCCAGCATTTCCTGATGTTGATACCAACCATGCCCCAGAGGGAAAATGCAGCTTGTGCCTTGCAATCTCAGTGGTGCTGTGAGGAGACATTTCCTCCCTCATTATGGCTCTTGTGTTATGAATAATTGTCCCGAGTCCCCATCAGAAGCCGGTTGACCTGTCTGGTGAGCTTGCTGTGTTTTATGTGAATGCCACATTAACGAGGAAATAGGCTACTTTCGCTTTTCCCTTACACTTTGCCATTTCAAATAGCAAGAATCCTACCACTTAAGATGATTTAACATTTAATAAAGGAGAGCCAGAGCATTTAATGAGTGATAAATAATAAAAGAATCAAGCTTTCAAGTCACAATGGATCAGAACTCTTGGATTTCAAGGTATCTGGCTGTTGCGGGAGATACTTTCTGTTGTCTTCTTTTTTGGGGGGCATGGGAGAAGGAAGAACTTTCAGAGCCTTCATACAAACCTCCACTAGCCCTGAACTGGAGTGAATGGATTTGGTGGGGAAGATGCTTCGGCCTCCACGTATAGATCAGGTCAAAATTTTCTTTCTGTTATCAGTCTGAAAGTTGGCTGATTTTCATACAAATAGAGAATGCTAGAAAGTATATATACCCTGGGTATATACCCTGGGTTCTGCTAAGTGATTAAGATTAAGATTATCCAGGGTTTTTTTCTTTCATCTTTTTTAAAAATTTAAGGGCTAGATGTAGTGGGAGGGAGTTGCTTGTTCATTAAATAGAAAGTACTGCTTATATAATTTGCTTATCTACATATGGATTCACTTGTATAAATTAATCATCACTTATATGTAGTCTGGAACATTTCAGAAAATGCTTGTCACCTGAACACCACTAGTGCTGTCTTCTCCCTCCCAAATCCTATTGTGGTTTACCTGATCCTCCCAGAGCCTTCCACACAGCCATTCCCTCGTTTACTCCCTTGCCATCACTCTCAAGACAAAGGAAATAAGAGTTTGGTAATCTGATTAAAGCTATACTTGAAACTAGCCTTGAACTGACTCTTTTTTTTTTTTAATTTAAAGATGTATTTATTTTATTTTATTTTATTTTATTTGAAAGTCAGAGTTACACAGAGAGAAGGAGAGGCAGAGAGAGAGAGAGAGAGAGAGAGAGAGTCAGTCTTCCATCCACTGGTTCACTCCTCAGATGGCCGCAACGGCCAGAGCTGTGCCAATCTGAAGCCAGGAGCCAGGAGCTTTTTCCAGGTCTCCTACGCAGATGCAGGAGCCCAAGGACTTGGGTCATCTTCTGCTGCTTTCCCAGGCCACAGCAGAGAGCTGGATCAGAAGTGGAGCAGCCAGAACTCAAACCGGCGCCCATATGGGATGCCGGCATTTCAGGCAGTGGCTTTACCCACTACGCCACAGCACCAGCCCCAGAACTGATTTTTTCAATAATGTTGATAAGACATCTGATCCATTTCTTGACCATATTATTTCCAAATAGTTCCTACTCTTAGGGCATCTGTGACTTAGCTGAAAAACTCAAATCTTTGTTTGTTTACATCATATTTGACCCTGCCCTACATAGACAGCTGTGTGTGGTCATCCCCAGTTCCATCTATTAGCTCAATGAAAAGAGTGTTTGCTAACTGCCTGTCATATGCCTGGTCACCTTCCAGTATTTTTCTTTCAAGACTTATTTATTTATTTTGAAAGTCAGAGTTACAGAGAGAGAGGGAGAGACTGAGATCTTCCATCCACTGGTCACTCCCCAGATGGCCACAATAGGCAGGGCTGAGCTAATCCGAAGCCAGGAGCCACACATTTCATCCAGGTCTCCCATGTGGGTGGCAGGGGCCCAAACACTTGGGCCACCTTCCACTGCTTTTCCCAGGCCATTCAGGGAGCTGAATCACAGCTGGAGCAGTCAGGACATGAACCGGCACCCGCATGGGATGCAGATGTCACAGGTAGTGGCTTTACCTGTTATGCCACAATGCTGGCCCCGCCTTCCAGTGTCTGTGTGAGGACAGGAAAACCCCCTTCTAATGTAGAACTTTCATTCACAAGAAGCTTTGTTTCTTTCTTTTTATTTTTTTAAAGATTTATTTATTTATTTGAAAGGTAGAGTTACAGAGAGGCAGAGAGAGAGGTCTTCCATCTGCTGATACACTCCCCAAATGACTACCATGTCAGGAGCTGCGCCTATCCAAAGCCAGGAGCCAGGAGCTCCTTCCAGGTCTCCCATGTGAGTACAGGAGCCCAAGGGTTTGGGCCGTCTTCTGCTGCTTTCCCAGGCCACAGCAGAGAGCTGGATCGGAAGTGGAGCAGTCAAGACTCAAACCGGCGCCCATATGAGATGCTGACACTGCAGGCGGCAGCTTTACCCGATACGCCACAGTGCCGGCCCCTGAAGCTTTGTTTCTTTACATAAAACAATTAGAAGACAGTCCATCCTTGTCCTCACCATGGAATCCACATTAGAAAGAAGTAAATAGAGCAATTCCAGTTGCCTTGGAGGGATTTCTGTGAAGTTTTATTGAGGAAAAACAGCAAGGTGCAGAAAGTATGCATAACATGATGTTACATCGGTGCAGAAATGTCCCTCTATGTGTTTATGTAGCTGTGTCTCTGCATGATGATTTGGGAGCAGAGCCTTCACGTGAGGTTGTAAACCTGCCTCCCCCCGCCCCCCACCCATGGCATGACAGATGCGGTGGCAGGGGTGGGGGAGCGGAGACAAGGACAAGGACAACAGGAAGAGGAATGAAAGCCTCACCTCCACACAGACTGAAGGGGACAGGAGGCCTGATCGCATGTGTGCATTATGTAAAATGACACGGCTTTACACCTATACAGAGATTCTTAACGTTCAGTCAATGGGTCACACTAATAAAAACAGGAAAGACAAAGGAATAAAGTATGGCTCCCAGCAACATGGGGCTGAAGCAGAAGCACTAAGAAACAATCTTACCAATCAGAGCTGAAGAAGGAATTCTCCCACCGCTGACGCTGTGAAGGTTGGCCTTTATTTCTGCCCAGCGCAATAGTCCGAGAAGCAAGTACCAAGAGCAATGACTGGAGTGAAATCCATAAAATACCATTATTTGCTCTTATTAAGTAGCTGCGTATCTGCAAAAGCTACCTACATTAGCTGTAAAAATTATTCCAATGAATAGAAGTGAATGAAGTGCTGGAAGTTTGATAAATATCCAAACACCAGGAACCTTACTACATGGGCGGGGGGTGTGCAGCACAGTGGCTGAGTCATCGCTCGGGACCCCCACGTGCCGTGATCACAGCCCAGTTCACGTCCCAGCAGATGGAAGATCGAGCTCTCTCTGTTTCTCTGCCTTTCAGTTAAAATGAAAATGAACAAATAAATACAACTTTTTAAAAAAAATTCAAATAAACTCACTACCTGTCAGGTAAAACAAACTTTTAACTTCAATTAATAAAATGTCTCATTCATAAAAACAACAGAAACTCTCAGGCATAAGCTTAAAAAAAAAAGGTGTATGCCCTATATTTTAGAATCATTTTTACTAGGAGGTATGTGTTGGATGGAGACAACTATGAAAAACAGTGATATTGGCTCTGCAACAGCTTATCTTAAGCCACTTTTTTCTCAAACTAATTAGACAGCAGAACAGTGGTCTATTGAGGCTATTTATAATTCATCACAGTGAAACCTTATCAATTAAAAACATAAGCATAAACAAAAACAGTTTACAAGGTGTTTTCCTGGAAGATAGGAAAAATATCTTGAATATATCCGGACACATTGTCTGTGGGTTTTTTTTAAGGATTATTTATTTACTTATTTTTATTTGAAAGGCAGAGACAAAGACACACAAAGATGATCTTCCATCTGCTTGCGGGTTAACTCCCTAGTTGTCTGTAACAACTGAGGGAGGGCCAGGTTAAAGCCAGGAGGCCAGAAGTCAATCCCAGTCTCCCACATGGGTGGCAGGGACCCAAGTCTAGAGCCATCACCTGCTCTGGCCCAGGGTGCATGTCAGCAGGTAGGTGGAATTGGAAGCGGAGCCAGGACTTGAACCCAAGTACTCCAATGTGGGTTGTAGATGTCCAAGCAGCGTCGTAAGTACTGTGTTACCTGCCTGCCCCACATTGTATGTAGGGAAAGTCGTATAAACATGTAACTTATTCCCTAACCTATTTTTCTAGATTTCATGTGATCCCAGAGAAATTTGAATATATTTTGAAAAAAAGAAATTTATTTAGGCAGTATCACCAGTACTAGATGATAAACATACATTCCAAAATACATTTGTGTATATACTATATGTATATGTAGTGTGCATATATAGTTGATATATGTATTAAATAATAATTCAATCCATGATTCCGATCTTAAAATAGGTATATGAAAGTACTTTGTATTTTGAAAGTTCATAGAAAATGTATTTTGAAAATGAAAAATGAAATTATTTTTATTCAAAAAATGAGATCATG